CTTGGCAGCTGAGAGGAGGAGAACGCCGACCGGCCACGGCGCTGCTCCCTGGCTGGCAGTGAAGCCTGGCATCTGCAGGATGGGGAGCAGTCACCACGTGAACGGACCCTTGAGGCCTGTGAGGCAGAGACCTTCCAGGATCCCAAACTATGAGAGACAGCATCAAAAACATTCAGTGCCATCACGATTTTTAAATAAAACTTCAAGTGTTCCCTTTGTCCTGGGACCCGATCACTAATTTGCATTCTCATCTTTCTCGCCAGCAGGCAGGAAAACACAGCACCCCACGCTGGTGGGGGAAAAAGAAGAGGGACAGACCCCCAGAAGGGAGCGAGACAGACAGACGCGGACAGCCTGTGCCTGCTCTCAGGTTACAAACACACCCGCCGCTGCCACCGCCACTCGGCACCCTTGCCAGTCCCGTCCCTTTGTGAACTCCACCCTCGCATCCGCTGTGCCCTAGGAGACAAGGCAGGCGCAGAATGGTATTAAAATTCTATATTTGGAGTGTCAATTGTGTGTCTGTTTTTAAAATAATATATTAGTAATAATTTTGTTTCCATAGAAACAGAGTGACTGGCCCAATATTTAATGAAGCTTTGCAGGCTTCGGGAGGGGAAATGCGGGACGCGCGAGGCTCCTCTCCTCCCTCTCCATCGCTTCCTTGTCAGTGCGTCTGGAAGGCAGCAGATGCTTAGCAGCCCAGGGAAGGGAGCAAAGCCCATCTCAAGGAGTCCTCACGGGAGACTGGGTGAAAAGTTTTTCCTGCCTGTTTCAGGGGAGGCTTAGGCTGCCTACAGCTAAGCAGGAGCAGCCTCTGTGGTTTCTCGTATCGCTCAGCAAAAGGTATTGCTTTGAGGCAACCCCAGGCTTGAAAGCAAGCAAATTCTCTCCAGAAAGACTCTGACGTTTCACCGGTGCACGCTGATTCCAGTGTGAACTCTGCGTGAAACACAACAGCTCACACTTCTCGCCCAGGCAGAAAAGCTGACCGAGCCTTCCCCGGGCAAGGTCCCCGTCTGCCCACGCTGTCAAAGCTGGCAGCCCTGAGGTCCGGAGCGGGCTCCTGCTCCGAAAGCAAGCAAATTCTCTCCAGAAAGACTCTGACGTTTCACCGGTGCACGCTGATTCCAGTGTGAACTCTGCGTGAAACACAACAGCTCACACTTCTCGCCCAGGCAGAAAAGCTGACCGAGCCTTCCCCGGGCAAGGTCCCCGTCTGCCCACGCTGTCAAAGCTGGCAGCCCTGAGGTCCGGAGCGGGCTCCTGCTCCGTGTGGACGTCTCGGAAGGGAGGTGCGGAGGTAGTACGTGGGTGATGGGCTGCCTCGGCCCGCTGCAGGCTGCAGATACAGCCACGGGCAAGCGGGGGGCTGCCTCGGAAAGGCCCTTCGCCCCCCAAAGCGCTCCTCGGCGTGCTGGGGCTTGGCCAAAGTGCGCCTTGTCCCCATCGCGGATGCCGGCGGGTGAACCGTCACCCTCTCACAGGGCGGCTGGCCGGCGG